CCTGCCCTTTGGGCGGGGGGCTGGACTCGATGATCTTCCTTGGTCCCTTTCAGCCCTAATGTTTATGAAATCTATGAACTTGAACCGGAAGGGGATCTGGTACAGAATTTCCATAAACTGAGTTGACCTAAATCAGTTAAGACTGATACTACATCTAACTAGGTTTATCTTAAACCAGTTTCAGCCATATTGAAAGTGGTTTAAGGATGCAGACAGAAGTGATAATTTTTACCTGATGTGGCCACAGAAAGCAGTCTAGAGCTGTGATCAAGCACAAGTGCATGGCTGCAGACAGCTTAAAAAATGGCCAGTCAAGTGAAAATCTTGAACCCTCATTGCATGAGGGGTCAGATGAAGATTTTTCAAAACAGAGCACCTTCTGTAAATTCTGTCTGCACTGCCTGTCAGCCTTGAGCTGTTTTCTGAATGGGAGGAGGAAAGGGACCTGAGGGAACTTGGTCTGGGGGTTTTTCAGCTCTTGCTGGAAGGTGGGTCAGGGCTCCAGTTCATCCACCCCATCCACCAGTGCTGGCTGCAGAACCCCTAAAATGAGCTCCATCTGCTTCCTTTCTTCCCTCCCATTCTTAAGCAGGGACAGGCTAGGAGGAAGCAAGGGCCATTACTAGGGGAAACTGGCTGAAAGCTGTAGCCAGAAGCTAGATTCCCCTCCTGCCTGGTACCAAGAGTGAACTTCTGTTTGGTCATGGGAATCACTGTAACTCAAAACATTCCTGGAAAGCATCCTCAGTTACATTGGGGAGCTGCACTTATGTCTGCACCCTGAGTGCACTGAACTTCTGTTCTGTTATAGGTTTAAACTGCTTTCTGATCACTTAAACTGGTTTATGTGTAACTTCAGTACCTAGCCTAGATTGAAAAATAAATTAAAGTCCTTGCTTTTGACTTCTGGTCAAAATTAAGTTGGTACCCTAAATTAAGTTGGCACCTGAAATACCACCTCTGTCCCCATGCAAGAGCAGTATATTCTGTAGAGGTCTTCAAAGTGGACCCCAATGGTATAAATGAGAGGGGCTACTTGCAGGGAGAGGGCACCCAGTTATGGAATTTTCTTCCCTTCTTAATCTAAAATACACTAAAACTGATCTCCTTTGAGGCTCTGAGAAGTTACTTTTTGCCAGGCCTTTAATGAGAACTAAAAGCCTGGGAAGATGCAGGGAAACGTGTGTGCTTTGAGCTCTTGAGTTGCCTGGTTTGCTGGTCGTAGGATCTACTACTGGATTCTGTTGCCTTACTATTGTCATCTTACAGATTAATTTTGTTGCATTTTTAAGTTATGTCAAGGGCACACAGAGTATGTAGAAAGATGTCCTTTTTCAGTATTTGTATAAATCTGAAGAATGACTTAAATATGTAGACAAGCAGCTATTTATATCCATTCCTTGCAAAAGGAACCCAGTTTAAATCAAAAGAATCACTTATAATGAATCTGTGAAAAGGATTGCTAAATGCTCTTAAAAGATTTTGGGGTACCTGATTTGAGACCCCTCAAATCAGATGTAGGTGCAAAAAAACAATAAATTCATATAATCTTTTCCCAACCCAAGGAAATATTTCCTATCCCAAATCTCCATTATTCTTCCTTCAGCCACACTCTAACATTGTAATCCTTGGGCATGTATACACATGCTCCAGGAGTGGTGGTGGTGGAGGGGGTGCTTTAATTAGAGTGGCTCTTAGAGTATCATGTGTATCAGCAACCCTGGGCTGAAAAATGGTGGTGCGGGCAAT